CGCTTGCAGAACAAACTGCCCCAGTGGTTGGGGCGGCCCGGAGGCGAGCATCATGAGCATCAGCTGGGTGGGGTTTTGGCCCCGCGGCCCTCGAAGCAGACGCTTGCAGAACAAACTGCCCCAGTGGTTGGGGCCATTTGACGAGCCAGGAGGCGAGCATCATGAGCATCAGCTGGGTAGGGTTTTGGCCCCGCGGACCCCGAAGCCCAAGACGCTTGCAGAATAAACTGCCCCAGTGGTTGGGGCCATTTGTCCGGCCGGGAGGCGAGCATCATGAGCATCAGCTGGGTGGGGTTTTGGCCCCGCGGCCCTCGAAGCAGACGCTTGCAGAACAAACTGCCCCAGTGGTTGGGGCCATTTGACGAGCCAGGAGGCGAGCATCATGAGCATCAGCTGGGTAGGGTTTTGGCCCCACGGACCCCGAAGCCCAAGACGTTTGCAGAACAAACTGCCCAGTGGTCGGGGCCATTTGACCGGGCGGGAGGCGAGCATCATGAGCATCAGCTGGGTGGGGTTTTGGCCCCGCGGCCCTCGAAGCCCCAGTGGTTGGGGCCATTTGACGAGCCAGGAGGCGAGCATCATGAGCATCAGCTGGGGCCCCACGGACCCCGAAGCCCAAGACGCTTGCAGAACAAACTGCCCCAGTGGTTGGCGCCATTTGACGAGCCAGGAGGCGAGCATCATGAGCATCAGCTGGGTAGGGTTTTGGCCCCACGGACCCCGAAGCCCAAGACGCTTGCAGAACAAACTGCCCCGCGGCCCTCGAAGCAGACGCTTGCAGAACAAACTGCCCCAGTGGTTGGGGCCATTTGACGAGCCAGGAGGCGAGCATCATGAGCATCAGCTGGGTAGGGTTTTGGCCCCACGGACCCCGAAGCCCAAGACGCTTGCAGAACAAACTGCCCCAGTGGTTGGGGCCATTTGAGTCAAACGGCCGGGAGGCGAGCATCATGAGCATCAGCTGGGTAGGGTTTTGGCCCCACGGACCCCGAAGCCCAAGACGCTTGGAGAACAAACTGCCCCAGTGGTTGGGGCCATTTGACGAGCCAGGAGGCGAGCATCATGAGCATCAGCTGGGTAGGGTTTTGGCCCCGCGGACCCCGAAGCCCAAGATGCTTGCAGAACAAACTGCCCCAGTGGTTGGGGCCATTTGACGGGCCGGGAGGCGAGCATCATGAGCATCAGCTGGGTAGGCTGGGTAGGGTTTTGGCCCCACGGACCCCGAAGCCCAAGACGCTTGGAGAACAAACTGCCCCAGTGGTTGCGGCCATTTGACCGGCCGGGAGGCGAGCATCATGAGCACTGGGTGGGGTTTTGGCCCCGCGGCCCTCAAAGCCAAGACCCTTAACAAACTGCCCCAGTGATTGGGGCTGGTAAAAAGGCGAGCATCATGAGCATCAGATGGGCAGGGAGACATCAGTAGACTCTGGACTCATGGCTCTTGAGCTTGGTTCCTTCGACCAGCATATGGGTAGCTCTCTAAAGCCCGGGTCCCCTTTTGGGGTCCGTATAGTAAGGGCGCCGTACAGGGCTTAGGGTTTAGTGTTTAGGGTTTAGGAGAAAGGGTTGAGGGGGAATATTCATTCGAGAGCTACCCAGTTTGGTTCCGATGGCAGGCAGGCCTCCGATCCTGAGTTTTGGGGTTCAGGGGCTTAGCGTCTCTGATACTTCGATAATCGGCGAAGTCAGGGGCCTTGCTCCGGCATTGCTCCAAGCCTAAACCCTACACCCTAAACCCTAAGCCCAAAACCCTGAGCGATATTCATGAAACCCTATATTAGGTGCCAGACCGAAATTGTCGATGCCAAGTGTCCCTGAAGCCCACCCCCTAAACTAAACCCTAAACCCTAAACCCTAAACCCTAAACCGCTCACCTTTGAAAGTCCAAAAGCTTGCAAGTTAAAGCTTTAGGGCCTTTAGAGGTTTGTGGGTCTTTCATGGTAGGATTCCTTGCCAAGGACCACCCCACAAGGGGACTAAGCCCGAATCCCGAAACCCTGAACCCTAAATCCAACTTCGAGGTGCTTACCATCTTTCTGCCCAACGGCTGGCTGGCAGAAATATGGCTGGGTTACGCGAACGCCCCAGAATCGTGGCATTCATGGGCTTAGACCAAATCGAGTGGCTTAGGGTTTAGGGTTTAGGGTTTAGGGTTTAGGGTTTAGGGTTTAGGGTTTAGGGTTTAGGGTTTAGGGTTTAGGGTTTAGGGTTTAGGGTTTAGGGTTAGGGTTTAGGGTTTAGGGTTTAGGGTTTAGGGTTTAGGGTTTAGTCCCTAAACCCGAGGATCCCTGGAGCCCTAGATCCTGTTAAGCCCTAAACCTTTTTCAACCCTAAACCCTGGAACCCTAAAGTAAACACCCGGCAAAACCTGAGAAGCCGAATCCCTAAAAACCCCTACAACCCAAAGCTCCAAAGCCCGCACAACCCTGCAGAGCCAAAAGCCCTGGAACCCAAAAGCTCCCCCAAGTAAACCGTAGTGAGGACTTGCGGTTGTGTTGCGCACATGCTTATAGGGTTAAGGGTTGAGGGTTTAGGGTAGGAGGGCGGTATTGGGGTACCTGTTTTATGCTACTCAGACCGCACACATTCGGAAGGCATGCGGTGCAGTGCAGGGGCTTGGGGAAGGGTGGGCGGGAACCTGTCGGCTGGGCGGGGTCCGCATTTCAGCCAAAAAAGTGCCAATTCAAGGGGTGCAATCTGGCAGTGCTGGGGAGGGGATTAGGGTGCCTGCTTTGTTCGAGGCCTCGGCGGATTTGACTATTTTGAACCACCGTGTTGCGTCCGGATGTTGCATGTGGCCCTGAATTTGGACGCAAGAACGTTCTGTAATGCAGCCGGGCTCACCCTAAACCGAAATCCCTAAACCCTAAACCCTAAACCCTGTAATGCAGGCTGTGCTGGTGACAGCTTGGTGCAGCGTGGCCATTTCTGCTGGGGACCTCGGATTCGGACACACATCTGGGATGTCGAAGCTTTGACATAACGTAAACACTTGAAAGCCCTAAGCCCTAAATTACTATCTCCCCCTTGGGAACTCTTTTTTTTTTTTTTTTTATTTTTGTTTGTATAAAACCCAAGATGATGTTAAACATAGTATATGTATTAAGGTTCTAAGGAGGGCATAGTTTAAAGCCCGACAAAGCCGGACAGCCCGGAAAGCCTAAACCTTCGGCCGAGCAGAAGGAAGAAGATATGGACTTCATGCTGTGTGACAGAACATTGTAGTGTGGGGGCCAGAGTCCAGTCAGTCGTGTTCTCGATTTGTTCTTTACTTCTGCTGCCCACAGTTTGACGACCATGACTGTAGCCTTAAACCCTCAACCCTAAACCCTAAACCCCAAACCCCAAACCCTAAACCCTAAACCCTAAACCCTAAACCCCAAGCCATGGCATGCCAGCAAGCAGGCTCCTGGGCCCCGTCCAAGCCCTACGCATGAGGGTTTAGGGTTTAGGGTTTAGGCTTTAGGGTTTAGGGTTTAGGGCTTAGGGTTTAGGGTTTAGGGTTTGGGGCCATGGTATCAGTTGTGCACGAGAGGTTATTTTTGCATTCTGTAACACTCAGTGATGTTTTCGCATGTCTCCAAGAAAGACATGGGGTATTGCCCCAACTATGAGAACCCGCCTAAACCTCTAAACACCCGAACCCCTAGAACCCCTAAGCACCCTTAAACTCTACGCCCCAAACCCCAATAAACCCATAAGCCCTAAAACCCGAAAGCCCCAAAACCCTCAAGCCCTAAAGCCGCAAAGCCCAAACCCCGAAGCCCTGCATCCTCCGGAAGTCCTGCAGCTCTTCCACGCTTTTCTTAGTGTGGGTTAGTAGGGAATGGGGGGGAATGAGGTACCCTACATAATCCCTTAGAGGGTATATATGGGGGGATATAGGGTACCTCATTCCCTGAACCCTAAGCCCTAAACATCCCTAATCCCTAAACCCTAAACCCTAAAGTAAGTTTTCCCCAAGGCGTGGAGGTTAGAGCGGAGCCGACTGTTGCTCTCGCGCGGCGAGGTGGCAGGCCAGCGATTCGGATTTGGGGTTTAGGGATTAGGGTTTAGGTTTTAGGGTTTAGGGTTTAGGGTTTAGGTTTTAGGGTTTAGGGTTTAGGGTTTGGGGTTTGGGGTTTAGGGTTTGGGGTTTGGGGTTTAGGGTTTGGGGTTTAGGGTTTAGGGTTTAGGGTTTGGGGTTTGGGGTGTAGGGTTTAGGGTTTAGAGGGATTTAGGTTGAGGGGTGAGCCCCAAAACCCCGTTTGTTTTTTGGGGGGGAGGGGGTCTGGGTGGAGGGCGGCGGTGGGTTTAGGTAGGGTTTAGGGTTTAGGGTTTAGGGTTTAGGGTTTAGGGTTTAGGGTTTAGGGTTTAGGGTTTAGGGTTTAGGGTTTAGGGTTTAGGGTTTAGGGTTTAGGGTTTAGGGTTTAGGGTTTAGGGTTTAGGGTTTAGAGCCTTTCACGTTGGGGACCGCAGGTTGGTGTGCGGTTCATGGTCTGTGGTCCATGGTGGGTTTAGGGTTTAGGGTTTAGGGTTTAGGGTTTAGGGTTAGGGTTTAGGGTTTAGGTGGCTACGCAGATCCCTTTGCCCCATATGCTCGGTCAACCAGTGCAGTTTTCTCAGTGAATCTCCATTGGACCCCCATAAGAGTGACGAGGAGCAAAGGCAGCACTGGTGCAAACGCTGCCGCCACCATCCCCATATAGAAGTAGCCCCTAAATAACTCCCAAATAAACCCCAAGGTCCCTTATAAGGGTCTCCTTTCCACGCGTCTACAGTGAACCATACAATCCAGTACATCAAATCAGACGGGGTCGGGCGGCAGCGGCTGGAATTCCACTTGGTCCCCACCACTGCGACGATTCCGGGATTTGAAGTATGGGCCCTGAATATAGTGTATACAAGCGTTCCATAACAATGGACCCAAAGTAAGAGCCCGTACTTCGGATCCCTTATCTATGAGTCATCACGGCGTAAGCCTGAATAGCACGCAGAGATAGGGACCAACCAGTGTTTCCATGCAAGTCTCCCTCTTCTACTCTAAAGCCTACAGACCTACAGACCCTACAGCCCTAAACTCCTTCAACCCTAATTAAAAGGGGGGGGTTTGTCCGAAATTGGGGGGTACCTTCTTAGGGCCCTGATTATAAGGGAATCCTATTAATTGGGGGTCTACATCTGGGCTCCCCTATTTTCTTAGACCCACAAATTGCAACACCCTAAACCTTAAGCCCTAAACCCTAAACCCTAAACCCTAAACCCTAGGCCCTAAACCCTAAACCCTAAACCCTAAACATCATAGACCCTAAAGCCTCGAACCTTAGTTGCAAGGCCCGCTCGATGCCACGGAGGAGGTTTGGAGTTGGAACATCATGCGCCACGTGAGGCTGCCTGGGTGGGAGTTTGTGGTTTTTCAAGGAACAAAAGGAGGGAACCCTTATAAGGGACCTTAAGGTTTAGGGTTTAGGGTTTAGGGTTTAGGGTTTAGGGGCTTCTTTGAGCTTACATAGGGGAATAAGACTATTGGTCCCGGCTAGGGGTCCCTCCTCATACCCCTCAAGGTCTAGTGTTTTCAGAACCCGAAACCCGAAGCCCTAAACCTTCAAGTTTAGGGCTTGGCGGCTTGGGTGTAAGTTCGGCATAAGCAGTTCTTCAAATCATGGCACCCCAATAAGGCCCGTGCAGTTTGGAATATATATATATATGTGTATGTATTTTCTGTAAGTGCTCCATCCAAGGTTTAAGGGCAGGAGACCATCACGTGAAGAACAGGCCGCGTAATAAGGTTTCGCACTCGGCTGCTACCAAAAGTCGTGAAAGTCAGCCCTTACCTCCGCCGACAATGCAATCACATTGCATCTTACACCCTAAACTAAACCCAAAACGTTAAGTAAGCCACCCCTACTTCCTTAATTCCCGACTAAGAACCAGTCTGAGTAGCAGAGGCCTGCAGATGCACCGGAAGGTCCTGCCTCAACGAGGCAGGATCCTCCTGCAAGCCGACGGTCTGGGGTTTAGGATTTAGGGTTTAGGGTTTAGGGTTTAGGGCTTGGGGCTTAGGGCTTAGGGTTTGGGGTTTAGGCTTGAGGGTTTAGGGTTTAGGGTGTCATGGTGAGCTGAGGCTATGTAGCGACCCTTTTTATATACAGCATAATTAATCCCTAAGCCCTAAGCCCTCAATCCTGACCCCACCCTAAACCCTTGTGTAGCTCAACCTCCACGTCGACCCAGTGGAAGCTTGCCAAGTTTCAACCCTCAACCCTGAGCCCGAAGCCCGAAGCCCGAAGCCCGAAGCCCGAAGCCCGAAGCCCGAAGCCCGAAGCCCGAAGCCCTAATTTTAAATCCCCAAACCCTAAACCCCTAAGCCCTAAGCCCCAAACCCTAAGCCCAAAGCCCCATTTCGCTGGAGACGTGAAGCTGGGAAGCTCGCCAAAATGGGCAAGCAAGATCCAAAAAGGGTTTTAGGGATTAGTGCTTTGTAATATTCAAGTAGAGTTTAGGTTATGGGGTTTAGGTGTTTGCCGTTTCGCTCATCCTGTGATTAGCTTGAACTGACACAGAGAAGTGCCAAGCCCTGAGGTGCTAAACCTAACCCCAAACCCTGAAACCCTAAACCCTAAACCCTAAACCCTAAACCCTAAACCCTAAACCCTAACTCCACACCCTCTGTCCCCCTTTCCAAGACTCCAAGACCCGAAACCCTAAAGCTGAAACACCAAACTCGAAACCGAAACTCTAAAAGGCTTCTGGAAGATTCTTGACAGATCTTGAGAGGCCAAAAACACTAAAAACCCCAAGCCCTAAACCACCCTAAACCCTAAACCCGGGTTACATCGGACTAGGCCGATGCCGGGAATGGAAGCTCTTCGTGCTCCAGCGCCTTGGGCCAGCGATTTGTGGCCGAGAGGGTTTTCAACCCTAAACCCTAAACCCTAAACCCTAAACCCTAAACCCTAAACCCTAAACCGTAAACCAAGTTGAGGATCTAGGTTTCAAGCAGGTTTTGGGGTCTACAGTTTGGGGTTTGGGGTGTCGGGCCTGAGTTCCACTTAACACACGTTTGGTGGTACCCTAAACGTTTAGGGTTTAGGGTTTAGGGTTTAGGGTTTAGGGTTTAGGGTTTAGAGGTGCAGGAACTACAACAAGGAGACATGGCCGCTGAGCAAGCCACACAATGCAGTGCCGCTGCGTCGCTCTGTGTGTTGGCACGACCTCTGCCTTTGAAGCTCCCATCTTTCACGAGCTCCCCAGGCCCTCTTTAAGGGACGAATCCCATTTACCCTCTAATGCCCCAACGAAGCCAATTATGCAGGGCTGACTATGGGGATTGCACGGCCCTTTGGCCCATCAAGCCCTAGGTGAGCGCCAAGCTCTTCGCCTGCGCAAGGCAGGGAAGCCAAAAGAGCTTGAAATGTTTTGGGTGGGGAGCTATATGTTACAGAGGGTTGGGGGGGGTCAGGGTTGTTTAGAGGTTTAGAGGTTTAAGGGTCTGTTTGAGGACTTCTATGGGCTGAGCTTGTGGCGTCCCTGGTCTTGATTGCGCGGAAGCACATTCCCCCACCCTCCGAACCCTACTTCCTGCCTCAGGATGACTTTGGTACGACTGCTTTGCTTGGCGCTGGCCGCTGGCTCCATTGCTGTCGCCCGAAGCCTGGGATGGGGTTTAGGGTTTAGGGTTTAGGGTTTAGGGTTTAGGGTTTAGGGTTTAGGGTTTAGGGTTTAGGGTGTAGGGTGTAGGGTGTAGGGTTTAGGGTTTACGGTTTAGGGTTTAGGGTTTAGGGTCTAGGGTTTAGGGTTTAGGGGGTTAGGGGGTTAGGGGGTTAGGGGGTTAGGGGGTTAGGGGGTTAGGGGGTTAGGGTTTAGGGTTTAGGGTTTAGGGTTTAGGGCCTCTTGAGCCCTGCGGTCATCACCATATTTGGTTCCAGCGCCACTCATCCACTCGGAAGCCTCTTTGACTGCTTAGTAAGTAGGGATGGTAAGGTGGCTCTGGTGTGTTGTTGTAATAGGGTTTCTAGGCGAGTTTATGTAGACGTACTAAGTCAAAAGAGATTCCAAGCAGGCGGATTTATTGGTCGACATCCCTCGTGACAAGCCCCACCTTTCTCCTGCATCTCCATGCTGAACACTACTCGGCATACTCTAGGGGACGAGATGCAGCCATTGCTGCAGGGAAGGGCGGACAGCCACTCTGTAGCCGGTGCTTAGGATTCAGGGTAATAGGTTCTTCACTTCCTTTACCTTATCAACCCCTAAGCAGAAGTGTTTGCCTGACATTTCTTTTCCGTGCAACACAGCCTGGTTTTGCAATCGCACCCAACCAAGACTGCCTAGGCTGTGGGCATCTGTGACTTCGTGCTGATCCGCCAAGACTACTTCAAGTTCACCATGCTGCGGCAGCTTAGCTCGCAAGCCTTGGCCGGATCGTTGCATTTGCACAGCTGTGAGTGCGCAGGGTGTCGTGGTGACTTTTGGGATGTTTTGTGGCTGGCGAATCCTTCTCTCAATGAGGGAACGCCCATGATTTGCATTGGAGGTAGCTGTTGAAGTTCTTACCTTTACCCCTACTTAAACCCTACACGCTAAACCCGGATCCCTACAGTCTGTGTGGTAATCAGGTATAACTTTGCGCAAGACCTGATCGGCCTCATGATAGCAGCAGAGATCGTCGTCTTCAACGGCAGCCAGCTGGCGTTTCCCTTCCCCCCAATAATACCAGGAGTTTAGGGTTTGGGGTTTGAGGTTTGAGGTTTGGGGTTTAGGACCCCTGTCGTTGCTTGGTCGCTGCGCAGCAGAGATCCCTTCCAGTACACCAAATCTTGAAATAGCATCATCTGATACTGATTTTGTTAATAAATTAGTCTATAAAGATCAAATTTATAAAGAACACCCCGCATGAGGGTCTCAAACTAAACCCTAAACTCTCTAAACCCTCTAAGCCCGAAACCCTAAACCCTCTAGACCCTAAACCCTTACCCCTCTAAACCCTAGCCCGGCTGCCTTAGCCCCTGCTGTGAACCAGTGAACCTAACCCTAAACCCTAAACCCTAAACCCTAAACCCTAAACCCTAAACCCTAAACCCTAAACCCTAAACCCTAAACCCTAGCTTCAGATTCCGAACCCAGCGTGGGCATGTCGCAGTTCAGGGCAGCGCAATGGGGCTTAGGGTTTGGGATTTAAGGTTTAGGATTCAGGGTTGGGGTTTAGGGTTCAGGGCTTGGAGTTTAGGTTTAGGGTTTAGGCTTGGGGCTTGGTGCTTAGGGTTTGGTATTTAAGGTTTAGGATTCAGGGTTTACGGTTTGGGGTTTAGGGTTCAGGGCTTCGAGTTTAGGTTTAGGGCTTGGGGCTTAGGGTTTGGGATTTGAGGTTTAGGGTTCAGGGTTTCGGGTTTAGGGTTCGGGGTTTAGGACACACACACACACACAGACACCGAGACGGGGTCTCACTAAGCCCCAAGAAAGGCCCAGGCACGCAAAACTCGAGCCTCCAAAGACCACGGAAACCCAAACACCCAATACCCTGAACCCCACACCCTAAACCCACTGGTTTTAGGGTTTAGGGTTCAGGGTTTAGGGTTTAGGGTTTAGGGTCAAAACCCGTTTAGGGTCGAAACAGCAACTCCTCCACCTCAAAAGAAACATAAGCTCATGAAGCACACTAAGCCGCTGAGGCATTCTCAAGAGGGCCTCGATGGTTCTCACGCGGCTGGAGAAGCATCGCAACCGCATCGAATTCGTGCGAGCCCATTACCTCAAGGCCGATGGGGCATGATCCAAGGTGCCATCCTTACTTCCTAAACAAGGGAATTAGGGCTTTGCCTTTAGCATTTAGGGCTTGGGTAGGGTTAGGGCTGACAGTTGGGGAGGGGGGCCGGGGGAGGCCGAAGATTTCTTAAACATCAAGGCCTCTTGTTTTGCTTTTTGGGCGCACCGGAGGTCTCAACACCCCCCCCCCCCCCCCCCCCCCCCCCCCCCCCCCTAAACCCTCAACCCTCAACCCTCCCTAAACCCTCAAACCCTAAACCCTAAACCCTAAACCTAAACCCTAAACCCTAAACCCTAAACCCTAAACCCTAAACCCTAAACCCTAAACCCTAAACCCTAAACCCTAAACCCTAAACCCTAAACCCTAAACCCTAAACCCCAAACCAAACCCCAAACCCTAAACCCGAGTCCGAAGCCCTGCTTTAGTGTCCAGAATCTATGATCTGCTGCTGACAAAGGTTCCAAGTGAGTCCATGTGATATACTATGTATACTATGAAGATTGAGGTGATTTGATGCAGGGATGTTAAGGTTTGTCTAGGGTTTAGGGCTTCCTAAACCAGAACTCCCCATCCCAAAGAGACCCCGCAACTGCCGGGCGACCCGAACACTCTGAACTGTTTCTGGGTTTTAGCTATTCGGGCATGAGGGTACTAGGATTTAGGGTTTAGGGGTTTAGGGTTTAGGGTTTAGGGTCTAGGGTTTAGGGTTTAGGGTCACCCTGCCAGGCCTTGTGCCTTCAATTCATTAATTCGCTCGGTGCCCAGTTGGCCAAAGGGTCCGTGAAGACGATGGAGGAGTTGTTTCGGGTTTTGTGGTTTAGGGTTTAGGGTTTAGGGTTTAGGGCTGTCGCCATGCGCATCCAAGACTCTTTCTCGTGCCGCTTATAAATTGTGGGTTGGCGCGTAGGTGCTGCCAGATGCAGGGCATATTCTGGGTTGTTTAAGCCAGGTATGGCTTTGAACCCAGTAATATAGGGCCGGAATAATTACTAAAAACATTCCCGTATGGTCCCTTTAGAATTCTACAATAGTAACCCCACAAAACCCCATTCTAGTTTTTTATTTAGGCCCCTATATTTAGTCGGAACGTTGCTCAAGGGATCGTGTTGAGAGGAAATCTATAATGCCTCAGTTGCAACCTCAATCCAGTACCTTAGTGGGTGTCCTCTGTGGAGGCCTTTGAAGTATTGAACCCTGATTATCCTCAATACCTTTTAGGGTTTAGGGTTTAGGGTGTAGGGTTTAGGGTTTAGGGTTTAGGGTTTACGACCTAGGGAGAATATTGCGTGGTGGAAAGGATTCGCTGGCGGTGTACTCAAGAGCTAGCTGTTGCTTCGAGAGGAACGTCTGTCATGGTACCGTCGGTCTTCCTGCTTGCTCCCATACCTGTCGGTTGGTTATAAAATGTGAGTAATATGTTTCGGGTTTAGGGTTTGGGGTTCAGGGTTTAGGGTTTAGGGTTTGGGGTTTGGGGTTTAGGGTTTGGCGTTCGGGTGCAGCGTTTAGGGCTTTCAGGGATTCGGGGCTAAGGGCTCCGTTCCGCTTGATGTTCCAACTTGTTTGGCCTGCCAGACATGTTCCACTAAGCCCTAAACCCTAAACCCTAAACCCTAAACCCCGAACCCTCAGGTGTGCATCGCTCTTCTACATCGCTTTCTACCCAGATCGGTGGCGCTTGTGCACTTCTCAGTGCAGCGTTTCGTACATTTAGGGTTTAGGGTTTAGGGTTTAGGGTTTAGGGTTTAGGGTTTAGGGAACCTCAAGAACAGGGACCAGTGTCGGGGCCTCAACGAAGACTTGGCCGTGTTTGTTGTTGCTTGTTTTTGAGTACGTCCACCCCTAAACCCTAAACCCTAAAGCCTAAAGCCAGGAGGGCGGGCGGAGGGGTGGAGGCGTACTCGTAGTTTCGGAACTTCTATGGGGGACCTCTTTGCCATTTTTGTCGTGAAGTATCCATGCGCTACTTGCTTTCTAAACCCTAAACCCTAAACCCTGAACCCTAAACCCTAAACCCTAAACCTCCATCAACGTCCAGCTCAGGTCCTTGGCTGCCCACTTCTCTTGTACATACTATGTCGGGGACTCGGCGCTTGGCACTTGACAGACTGGGGGCCGAAGGGTTCAGGGCTTGGGGTTTTGTTAGGGTTTGGGGAGTGGGGTTTAGGGTTTTAGAGTTTAGGGACTATCCATGGATCCCGTGAGGTTGTCGGAATCGGTGCACAGGGTTTAGCGTTTCGGGCTGCATTCCGGACCCCCCCCCCCCCCCCCAACAAAAAAAACATAAGCACAACAAACTACCCCCCTCCCTTCCCCTCCCCCCAGGCTGCCCTAAGTTCCGTTTTTTCATCGGCCTGCCCAGCCCCATTTAAGGTTAGTTGAGGCGGATCGAGATAGGGTCCTGAAGTCTACAAGTCAGGAGGCTGACCCTAAACCTGAACTGAACCCTCAACCCTAAACCCTATAAACCCTAAACGCTACAAACCCTATAAACCCTATAACCGCAAAACCCTTTACCCTAAACCCAAGCCCAAACTTTCAGTCCACAGTGCAGTGTCCTGTCAAGGCCGATTCTTGGTGGAACCAGTGGGGCAGCACGTGCCATGCTTGAAGAGGGAGGAGGACTTAGAGTACAGGGTTTAGCGTTCAGGCTTCAAGGTTTTGAGGTTCCAGGTTTACGGTCCTAAACCCTAAACCCTAAACACCCTTTTCTCATCATGCATGTTCGGGCTCGGTAGCGCTCGGCTTCAGGGCAGTGGTTCGAAGGGAATCTGATCAGTTTTCAGGTCGTACGAGTCGTACGGTTTTCGGCTCAGCACATCTCATGGTCAGTTCTCTAATTGTACGACCTTCGTTTTTGGTTGTTCGGGGGGGAGGTGGGGGGGGGGGGGGGGGGGAAAGAGGGTGGGGTTCTAAAGTAATGCAGTACAAGTGGATCTGGTCGCACAGTGAATGTTAAACTTCTTTTGCAGATTAGAGCCCTATGCAGTAACTCAAAACCACTTTTTCCTGCATGGGCAACGAAATGCGGCTTCGTCAATTTGATTTCCCAACTGGTTCTTTGCAGGATGTTCCTTGTCTCCCTTTGCTAGTGGCGATCTTGCCGCTGCAAAGATCTCACAACACAAGAGCATCCCTGAAACCTTGCACCCTAAACCCTAAACCCTGAACCTTATAACCCTATAACCCTATAACCCTATAACCCTATAACCCTATATCCCTATAACCCTATAAACCCCAAAGCCCTACATGATGAAGCAGCTTCTGGGCGCAGCCCTGAAGGTTTAGGGAGCATGGAATCTACACTCAAGCTCATAAAGGCCTAGACAAACCCCAGTAGTAGAGTAGGCAACCGTGAACCTTTTTGGGGTGTTCTCATCTCTACAAAATCCCAGTGGCTAACGTTTTGTTCCCCTAGTATACTTTACTAAACCCTAAACCCTAAACACCCTAAACACCCTAAACACCCTAAACACCCTAAACACCCTAAACACCCTAAACACCCTAAACACCCTAAACACCCTAAACACCCTAAACACCCTAAACACCCTAAACACCCTAAACTCTACTGGGTAGAAGGAGGGGCCCCTGAAGTTCTGGAAGGCACCCTTAGTCTCATTCCCCTATATTACCCTGGGACCCTAGATCTACCTTATGTAGTCCCCATATACCGAAGTAGGGTTTAGGGTTTAGGGTTTAGGGTTTAGGGTTTAGGGTTCAGGGTTTAGGGTTTAGGGTTTAGGGTTTAGGGTTTCCCCCCCCCCCAAATAATCCCTAAATAAGCCCTAAGGTCCCTTGTAAGGGTCCCTCCTTTAGTCCCTTGAACACTGGACAACTACGTAATATAGGGGTCGGAATAATTACCAGTAGTATTCCCTTAGGGTCCCTAATTATAATTGTACTATAAAATTTCCAAAGCCCTATTCTAATGTTCTAATTATTCAGGCCGCTATATTATGTCCAATCGAAGCTTGCAGCCCTAAAACCCTAAACCATAAGCCCTAAACCTAAACCCAACACCCGAGACCCTAAACCCTAAACCCTAAACCCTAAACCCTAAACCCTAAACCCTAAACCCTAAACCCTAATCCTAAACTAAGTAAGCCAGCCGTCTCCTGCTGGACACAGGTGCGCGATGGCGCGCCTCAACAAGCAGCTCGCAGCCATCCTCTTCGGTTTGTGCCTCAAGGCCACGAGTGTTTTCGGGTTGAAGGATCGCCCTGAGGCCCTAAACCTGAAACCTGAAACCTTAAACCCTAAACCCTAAACCCTAAGAACCCGTCTTCGAGAAGCAGCTTGTCATCATTCAGCCAGCCAAACCGATGAAGGTCTTGCAAGCAGTCGGTACGGGTCCCTGTCGCGTGGCTTGGGAGACTTAAGAACTCAGGCGTTTCGGGTTGAAGCAAGCAAGTCTGAACCCACGGATCCTGCCTAAACCCTAAACCCTAAACCCTAAACCCTAAACCCTAAACCCTAAACCCTAAACCCTAAACCCTAAACCCTAAACCCTAAACCCTAAACCCTAAACCCTAAACCCTAACCCTAAACCCAGCAGATACCCCCCAAAAAAATGGTCCGCACCCGTCAGGCACATGTTGTTTACTTTTCTTCGATGTGTTAAACACCTCTAACCCCACCCTCTTAAAACACTGTTAAACGCGAGCCTATAGACCCCCAGCCCAAACCTTCTCGCATATCCTACGTAAGGGGCCCCCAAGTCATGAGTAGGGTTGTGAGGCCCCTAGAAGTGGGTTATAGGTTATAAGTCTTACTTCGGCTATAACTCCCCTAACTAAAGTCAGCCGAGTAAGGGGGCCCCTACCTGTCCGCCCTAAACCCTAAAGCCCAAACCCTAAACCCCAAACCCTAAACCCCAAACCACAAACCCTAAACCCTAAGCCCTAAGCCCTACACCCTAATTAAACCCTAAACCCTAAACCCTAAACCCTAAACCCCTTCAAGCCCTAAAGCCTCCTCCTTTTGAGGCCGCCGTCGGCCAGCTGGCACTGCGCCTTCTCAGCCGCCGGGCCGTGAAGACGGCCAGCGAGAAGACGCAGAGAGATCTTCCAGACACCTCAAGGAAGTGGCCGGTTCTCTCAAACCCTAAACCCTAAACCCTAAACCCTAAACCCTTAGTAAAGAATCAGGGAATCAGGGTCCAGTGCGTTGCCTTCATCTCCCTTCAGACCACGTAACCTTAGGATGCTTGGGAATCTGTTTGTGTTTTGGTACTGTATTTCCGAAGAAACAGACAAAATTTTAAATTACCCCTAAACCCTAAACCCCTACCTGCGAGGAGGGGTGGTGCCCGACTTGTCGCTTACCTCGATGAGGTCATGGCTACGCCGAGGCGTCGAGTGGGGGTATAGTGTTTGTACAGGGCTCTGTTCAGGGTTTAGGGGGTTTGGGGTTTGGGGTTTGGGGTTTAGGGTTTAGGGTTTAGGCCCCGTCCAGGCAGTCCACAAAACCGCGCATTGACCCAAGAACTTGCTCTTACTTAGCCCTAAACCCTAGACCCTACGTCCCAAACGGGCCCAAATCGCGCCGTATCCCCAGCTACTGGCTCTGAGTAGGGAAGTATGAAGTTTGGTTCCTTGTATAACCCCCTTTAACATAACAAGATAGTTCATCCCTTGCCGATTTTCATGAGTTGTACCTGTAATCCCATATCGTGGAAATGAGTATTCAGGGTTTAGGGTCATTTTTCGCACCCCCTCCCCCTTGCGGTGCAACGCGCAAAATACCCAAACAGGAGGTAATTGGGGACCAAACCGTGAACCCTAAACCCTGAAACCTAAACCCAGGCAGGGTCTGAAGGGTTTAGGCGGCCATGGTGGTTTTCGAGTCTTCTTTGCGAATCATCATTCAGCTGAAGTAGCAAACCAGTCCCCAGTCCCCAGTGGCGTCAGTGGCCATCTGGCGCGAGCTCTACTGTGGGCCTTTTTAGTTATGTTATGTACTTGTATCTATATGTATTTATATCAACTACTAATAACAAATAGTATATACATATATATATATATATATATATGGCAGGTGTATATGCCGGGGCTGAGGTAGTATGTGGGGCGTATTTGTGGTAGAAAGAGTACGGGCTCCTTCTACGGGTCCCCCATTATTAGCATCTATTACCCTTGGCCCCTAGACACAAACCCCAAACCCTGACTGGATCAGGGTTTGGGGTTTAGCATTTCGTGGTACAACCTGGCCCACATGTCATAGGGTACCCAAGAAGGCGCCACGATGTAGCGAGACCATCCAAACCTAAACCCCAAACCCTAAACCCCAAACCCTAAACCCTAAACCCCAAACCCCAAACCCCACCCCCTACGGCCGCTAGTGGCTCCTGGTATCCCGTCACTTCTTAAGGGGTACGAGGAACCCGTAGTCTTGTTCCCCTATATACCCCTAAAGAACCCCTAAGGTCCGTCATAAGGGTCCCTCCATTTTTCCCTGCACTTCTGTCGTCAGGTGGGGCCATCCTGAGGCCGGGACCCCCAACTGAAAGGCTTATGTAGGTTTAGGGTTTGGGGTTTAGGGTTTGAGGCTTCGGGTCTAGGGCTGTAGGGTTTAGGGCTGTAGGTGGAGTACAGGGCTTTTCGGGGTTTGGGTTTTTGGAGTTTAGGGTATAAGAGGTTTCCGGGTTTCGGACTTATGACTTAAACCTTAGGGAGATTGGAGAGGTTTGCAGTTTTAGGGTTTTAGGTTCTCGGCCACTAGCAGCTTAGGGGTGTAGGCGGCTTAGCACCTACAAAGGGTTTAGGCGTTCAGGTTTCAAGGGTTATGGCTAGGGCATAGGGCCTTTCCGTTCAGGACTTTCAGGGTCTGCGTCGTGATTGTTTCGGCGTGCAAGATTTCTCGGGGGCGGGAGCTGCCGTGTAATGGGATCCTGTGCCAGTCCCACCTTAGCTACAGCTAGGGCACCCCCTTACTCCACTAATTTTAGTCAGCGAATTATGGGCGGAAATAATGAGACTCATACCCTATTTAGTACCCTTAGAGCTCATAACTTGGGGTGGGGGGGGGCCATGCTTGTACCCTACTCAGAGACTTGAATACCCCTTAACTAAGAATATTCCTTAAATCATATACGGAACTGTAGTATATTTTAAGGAATATTCCTTACTTAAGGGGTATTGGAGTCTTTGGGTACCCAAAAATAAGACCCAAACATCCTCTAGCTGACAGTTATTGGGGCAGTTGGGGTAGGACCCGTGGCATGTTGTCATGAACTTACAAAGAACCTGAACCAGAATGGACCTCCGAACTCTTAAGCCCTAAACCCTAAACCCTAAACCCTAAACCCTAACTGGGTGGATCCCGAGGCAGATTTCAACATTGCGGGGTTCTGCTGCTTCGGTCGGAAGCCCGGGGGTGCCTTTAAAAGCAAGTCCCGAAAGCCCAGCGCTATACATCCTAAACCTTAAACCCCCTAGTGCTTAGCAGGGTTTGGGTTTAGGGTTTAGGGTGTACGGTTTAGGGTTTAGGGTTTAGGGGTGATAGTTCTCGTAGTTGGGTTTAGGGTTTTGGGTTTTGGGCTCCTGCGCTGTCCTCACCCCCACGAAGACATGACTTCGATGTTTGTGGGCTTCGGGTTTAGGATGTGCGGTCGTTGACTGTAATCTTGCCCTAAACCCGAAACCCTAAACCCTGGGCCGCAGCTAAGGGGGGGAAGGGGGGGAAGGGGGGGAAGGGGGGGGAAGAAGGGGGGGAAGAAGGGGGGGGAAGAAGAAGGGGGGGGGGAAGAAGGGGAGAACTTGTGATTGTATCCACCCTCTGTTCCTTGCTGAGGCCGAAGCTGCGAGCAGGCGATCGTAATTGGCCTGCGCGCAGCTCAGAGGAGCTACCCTCAACCCCTTAAACCCTAAACCCTAAACCCAATAAGCCCTAAACCTGAAGGTCCTGGAGCCCTTGAGCCCTCAACCCCCTGAGGCCTTTGAGGCCCAAACCCCAAGGTCTGAAGAGGCACCTGTAGTTATAAGTCGACTCGGAGTTGCCTTCGGTTTAGGGTTTAGGGTTTATTGTTTCGAGTTTAGGGTTAAGTCTTGCAACTTAGTAGGCTTTGACATCCATGAGTATCATGAACTAATGGTTAACGTCTTCTTGGTCTCGCAGGACGCCCCTCCCCTTGCAGAGTAGCTTATCTGAAATGTACTTGTTGGCTCTAGGGTTAAAAAAACCCTAAACACTAAACACTAAACCCTAAACCCTAAACCCTGCGGGTACAGGGTTGCTCCAAGGTTTACTCAGACGGACTCCTAGCATGGACCCTTAATCCTACTGCCCAAAAGAACCCCGACCGAATTTTAGGAATCTCCACATGGGTAGTTTTTTTCTAAATTAGGGTATCTTTTGCAGTCCTTTATTTTACGGGTGCCGTACCATACATAGGACCCAAAAAGGGACCCCAATTTAGAGAACTACCCATATACCGGCGAGAAGCCGAAGTAGCTCCAAAAGAACCCTGCAAATTACGGGTGCCGTACCATACATAGGACCCAAAAAGGGACCCCAATTTAGAGAACTACCCATATACCGGCGAGAAGCCGAAGTAGCTCCAAAAGAACCCTGCAAAACCCTCAACCCCAAACTTTGCGTGGGAGTCCGGTCCTTCCCCCTAAACCCTCAACCCTAAACCCTCAACCCTGGACTCTAGACCATAGACCCTAAACCCTAACCCTAAACCCTAAACCGTCCGGGCCCCTCATGAAGGCGCACACGCCTTGGATTGTATGTTATGTTCCTAACTCACCTTCCAAACCCTATGTGCTAAGCCGACGACATGAACCCTTAGCCACTAAACCCCAACACGATGAAGCCTGAGTGCTAAGCCCTTAACCGGTAAACCTAAAACCCTACAAACCTCAACTCTATAGCCGGAACCCGAAACCCTAAAGCTAAACCCTAAACGCCCCCCTAACCCCCCCCCCAAAAAAAAAAAAAAAAAATCCATATGCATGCACTTAAGGCCCGAAACCCCGAAACCCCGAAACCCCCCTCAACCCCCTAAACCCCCAACAACCCTAAACCCTAAACCCTAAACCCTAAACCCTAAACCCTAAACCCTAAACCCTAAACCCTAAACCCTAAACCAAAAAAGAAAAACCAACAAAAATTCCTATCGCGAGTGCCTGCCCAGGCTGCTGCTGTTTGCCATCGCATCGCCCTGGAGCGGACTACTCGCCTTCGTGTTCTTGAACTTCTGCTTCTGGGCCCGGGGGCCCGTGGTTTGGGGTTTTAGGGTTTTAGGGCTTTAGGGCTTTAGGGTTCTGGGTTCTGGGTTTTGGGTTTTGGGTTTTGGGTTTTGGTTTAGGCTAATTAATTAGGGTTTTGGGTTTATCGTTTAGGGTTCTTGAACTTGTGTTTTTGGGCCGGGGCCTTGGGTTAGGGTTTGGGGTCCAGGGTTTCGGGATTAGGGCCTTTAGGCTTGTCTTATGAGGCTCAGGATACAGGAAGTTGCGAAACTGTCTGCAATGGTGATCTTGGGGAACAGGTCTGATTAACTACCATGTAGAACTCGTAGAGCCTTCAGGTTCACTCAAAGGCCCTGACAAATCCCCAACCCCAGAGCACCCGAGGCAAGCAGCATGGAAACCCCCATAACCGTAAACCCGTGGAGAAAAACCTACACCCGCTGCAATACCCCAAACCCTCAAGCACCACAGCCCTTTAGCCTTAGTACCCCTTGACAAAATCCTAAACTCCTCTGTGCACAAGCTTCCACATCTTCGACTAAAAGCCCTATACCCGAAGACGCCCCATAATCTGAAACCCTCAACTCCATGCACCCCCTCCACCCCCTCCCCCAACGCTGGCTGCGGTCTTGAGGCAGATCGCCGCCTTCCTGACCGGGAGTCTATGCCCTGGCGAGCCGGGACCAGCAGGGTTCAGGGTGTAATTTAGGGCTTCTGGTTTAGGATTTAGGGTTTAGGGTTATTGTTTCGATCGGGTCGGGGCGGGGGGGCATCGAGGCCATAGAAACTGTGTTTTATAGGACCCCCAAATGCAGTTCGGGCATGCAGGGTTTCTCTCTGTCCACCAAGCAGATGGATGTTGACAGATTTAGTCGGCTTGTATTAACACAAAATGGGCCGGAGTGCTGGACGATGGAGGCTGTCCATAAAGCTGGCCTTCGTCGAGTTCGAAATCTGTACTACACCTGCGAGTTCGCTCATTTAGTGTTCAGGGAACTGCTGATGCGCGGCGCCAAGGCGGGAGTCTTTGGAAGCCGAAGTTGTAGTTGTGTTGAAACAAAAACTCATGATCACGCAATCGCAGGTCTATGCCCTTCATGCACGCCTGGCTGCATTGCTCCTGGGCGAGACCAGCAGCCTGGTTCCACGGCATCCGAATCACTGGTGGCCAGTCATTGAAGATATTTTTACGTCGCCAAAGGTAGCAGACAGCAGACCCGAAAAGCTTCGAAGGATGTCAACTCGCAGGCTGCATTTCAGGGCGACGAGGCATTCACTCGAGTCTCCTGGCAATTGTAGTACTGTCGTGCCGTTTGTGGCTTGATGACTATGTAGCTTGGTCAGTGTACGCCCGCGACCCACAGGTTGCTACACACAGAGGCAGGATGAACACCGTGGTCATGATGGCGCCAGTCAAGTCGGGAGAAACTGCAAGTCTTCCGGCTGGTCTGCGACAAATTCGCTATGTTTTGGTCGCCAACCCCTCGGCAAGAGTGTGGCACTGTGCACGGGGAATATGTCCCAATCTGCAGATTTTGGCATTGGATCCAGTGCACTTGGGGATGACGTGTGAATATGCTTCAAGTCGCAAGCGAACGGCGTCGTCCAAAATTCTGCGTGGCATTCTGCGAAAGTTCACTGCACACAGCTCGGCACGCACGCCGAACTCTTGGGGGCCAGTGTTCACAGGCGGTGCGTTTCTTGCTCTGACTCGAGAAGATGATAATAGGGGGTACTATTTTGTCCCGCTTGTCGAACATTGTAGCAGCTACATGACCCATTTTCTTAAGTACAAGTAAAGAAAAATAGCGTGGTTGCGAAGAGCTGTTTTGAAAGGACAGCTTGAATGACATTATCATGTTCAAAGTGCGACAGTTTTTTTGCTGAGATGCACCAAACGTATGTTGTGCTTTGGTTTCATCGTATATACATGCTGAAACATTAGGTGTGTGATTTTGGACATGCTCAAAGTCCAGGAAAACGTTCTTTTCGGAGTTCATCTGTTTATCATATGTCCACAAGGGCACGCTAAATTTGCATTCTGAGACATGTTTACCCCCCCCCCCCCCTTGAATTGTGCCTGCAAAATATATACAAAATCTACTCAGAACTTAATTTTCTACCATTTCAAAAAATTTGAGCGCAAAGCACACGATGGAAAATTGCAAAAATACTGAACATTTCGTTCAAATCAGCAAACAGATTTATGAACTGTTTGTGTGCAATTCTCAGACCAAATCAACACATCGTACGAGACAAATTGTGAAAACACCACCGCGCTAGAAATTAGAAATACATTAACGTCACAAGCGCAAAACCCAAGCGCTCATAGGTCTTTTTCTTTCTAGTGTAAGGGGGAAGGGTGCTTTTTTGGGTTGAAGGGCCTTTAAAGAGCCCCTAATAACCCTAGATGTTAAACAAGAATTTGGCGTTTTGATCGAATTTACCCCCCGTTGTTCAGCACGAATTTGGCGACTTGATCCCTCTGACCCCTTTGGCCCGCCCATTGTTCAGCACGAATTTGGCGATTTGATCCATTTCGGCCCCTCTGACCCCTTTGGACCCCCCATTGTTCAGCACGACTTCGGCGATTTGATCCATTTCGGCCCTTCTGATCCCTTTGCCCCCCCCAAAGACAGTACGAATTTGGCGATTTGATCCATGTCGCCCTCTGACCCCTTTGGCCCCCCCCCCCCCCATTGTTCGCGCACTGCAGCTCAGCGAGCCACGAAGCCAGCAGGGCACAGGACTGACTCAGGACTCAGGGTTTCTGGATGGAATAGCTTGATGTCTGTGTGATTGTTTGGCCTCTTGGTGCGTCTGAACCGAAATTAATAAACTTGTATGTTTTTTAATGTTATGGGATTCTTTGGGCGGGTGATTTTTTTCCGTTGCCTACACACGGTGCTTGCCTAGTAAGTAAATGCTCGAACTTGAGGTTCTGAACCCCAAACGCTAAACCCCAAACCCTAAACCCTACACCCCAAACCCCAAACCCCAAACCCTAAACCCTAAACCCTGAACCCTGAACCCTGAACCCTGAACCCTGAACCCTAAACCCCAAACCCTAAACCCTAAACCCTAAACCCCAAACCCTAAACCCTAAACCCTAAAGCCCAAACCCCAAACCCTAAACCCCAAACCCAAAACCTAAACCCTAAACCCCAAACCCTAAACCCCAAACCCTAAACCCCAACCCCAAACCCTAAACCCCAAACCTTTAACCCCAAACCCAAAACCCTAAACCCCAAACCCTAAACCCTAAACCCCAAACCCCAAACCCTAAACCCCAAAACCTAAACCCTAAACCCCAAACCCTAAACCCCAAACCCTAAACCCCAACCCAAAATCCTAAACCCCAAACCCTAAACCCTAAACCCTAAACCCCAAACCCCACACCCTAAACCCTAAACCCCAAACCCCAAACCCTAAACCCTAAACCCCAAACCCTAAACCCTAAACCCTAAACCCTAAACCCCAAACCCTAAACCCTAAACCCTAACGAGCTTCAGAGGATGCCGCCCTGTCCGGAGCTGGACTTCTCAGCCGCCGGGGCCGGGGGCCCAAACTTCGCCCCCTCGTTTCACAGGAGGGTTTAGAATTTAGGGTTTAGGGTTTGGGGTTTAGGGTTTAGTGTTTAGGGTTTAGGGTTTAGGGTTTAGGGTTGGGGTGGTTCTTGGGGTTTCGGGCTGTCGGACTTGGGGATCTTAGGATTTCGGAGTTTTGGTCTAGGCCGCATTGCACGATCCTTCAGGATGGTTTCTGTGTTAGCGGAGTTCTCTAGGCGTTCTTTTTTTGCTGGTGGTTTAGGGTTTAGGGTTTAGGGTTTAGGGTTTAGGGTTCTGGGTTCCGGGTCTGAAGGTCAAGATTGAGGGCTTGCTGGCTAGTCGAGGAACTTTGAAACGTAGGGTTTGGGTCTGGGGCTGTTCTGGTGGTGAGGGGTTCGCATCTTCAGTCGCCAGTCGCTTTGAAGTTGAGGAGTGGGTAATTAAGGCTTACATGGAGGTGAGGTAGCGTTTAGGGTTTAGCGAGGTGTTTCTTGTTTGGAACCCGGAACCCTGTGATCAGAGGGTCTATCAGGGAACCCTTGCATTTTGACCCACCCACACCTGAGAGGGAGGTGCCGGGGGGGGGGGGGGGGAGGGGAATTAGGAACTGAATAGGGTTTTGGATTCAGGGCTCCGGGTTTAGGGTTACGGGTTTAGGGTTAGGGGTTCTTTATAAGGGGTTATGCAAGGGGGGGAGTACCTAGGACTCCTTAGTTTCCCCAAACCCTAAACCCTAAACCCTAAACCCTAAAACCTAAAGTGCACAGGACTGGCTCCTCTTCAATGCCAGCCGGGCCATGTCATGGCTTGCCGTGCCAGTCTTCGCAGCCGGCTTCCCCAGCTTTCTTTGTGTTTAGGGTTTAGGGTTTAGGGTTTAGGGTTTCGGGTTTAGCGTTTAGGGTGAGGGTTTAGGGCCGAAGGAGCGGGGGGTGGGGGGGAGGAGGCTCCCCAAACTCCAAACCCGCGCCCGCACGAAAAACCTAAGCCTTAACTCAAGATTTCGGGTTGCTTGAAACTCCCTAAACCCTAAACCCTAAACCCTAAACCCTAAACCGCCTTGTGCTCATTGGAGGGAGCTGCTATGACACAGCGGTGCCCTTCGTTTTAACATAGGTTTTACGTTTCATGGCTTCGCAAGGGGCACCATTCTATTCCTAGGTTGCTGGGCACGGATATGAAATGCGGAGCCGAGTCGTTCAAAGGACCATGTCGAGTCCAAGATGCAGTAAGCAGCCCCTGCCCAGACCCCCCCCCCCCCCCGAAACCCTAAACCCTAAACCCTGAACCCTGAACCTTAAACCCTAAACCCTAAGCCCTAAATCCTTAAGCCCTGAACCCTGACTCCTAAACCCTAAACCCTAGACCCTAAACCCTAAAACCTAAACCCTAAATCCTAAACCCTGAACCCTAAACCCTAAACCCTAAACCCATCAGCCCTAAACCTTAAAACCCTAAACCCTAAACGCTAAACCCTAAACCCTAAACCCTAAACCCTAAACCCTAAACCCTAAACCATAAACCCTAAACCCTAAACCCTAAACCCTAAACCCTAAACCCTAAACCCTAAACCCTAAACCCTAACCCTGAAACCCTTTGGACCTTAACCCTCCAATGTCCAATAGGACCCTTATGGGCCGGTACATGTGCATATATGTAAATGATAAAGTACATGTAGAGTTGAGGGTTTAGGGAATAGCATAAACATATATCTTTTGTACAGGCAAGTCCCTTTCTCAGGATTGTTGGAGTGCTTCAAACAGGACTAAGGCTTTAGCTTAGGATTTAGGGTCTAGATCTTTTGACTTTGGCCCAAGTACCCCTGAATGATACGTATTTAGTGCGTCTTCTTGAAAGGGTAAGCCTTCTAGGAACCCTCAGACACTGTGAACCTGTGAACCCTAAAGAAAAAAAGCCGGAAAATCCCGAAGCCGTAAATCCTTCAAGCCACAAAACCTTAACTCCCTAACACCCTAGAATACTTAAAACCGCAAAAACCCTAAAACCCTAAACCCCTCATCCCAAAACCCCCCCCAAAACCCCTAAGCCCCTTCCCTAAGTCCCCATAAGCCCCCTACTAAACCCCCTAGACCCCCCCAAATTCTTACTTTGCCACTTTGAGGCCCTCCTCGTGTGGCCGGCCCAGCTTGGGTCGGGTTGGCTTTGTGCGACGCTGCTGGGGCGTGATGGTAGCTGGCAGGCTGGCATGAGGGTTGGGTTTAGGGTTTAGGGTGTAGGGTTCAGGGTTCAGGGTTTAGGGTTTAGGGTTTAGGGTTTAGGGTTCAGGGTTCAGGGTTCAGGGTATAGGGTTTAGGGTTTAGGGTTTAGGATTTTCGGCTTTTAGGAGGCTTGGGGGTTCAGACGTTCCCCCTTTTTGAAACAGTCCTTCGTAGGAATTATAATGGGGCGTACTTTCTGTTAAGGACTCATGCCAACTTGGGGGTTTAAAGGGGTGTATGGTTTGCTACAGTAGTGTTTTGGGTGGGTTTGGAGTCTAGGTCAGGGTTGGTTGACAACGTGGGGGGGGGGGGTTATGATGCGTCCTTGTCGACAATCCACAACTCTGCAGCCAACACCTTGGTCGACACGGAGGAGCTTGCCATCACTGCCGCGGCTGAGGCGCCCAGAAGCGTTGCGGTGCCGGGCTCGACGGTGAGCGTGTTCACCTTCGTGGCTGCTGGGCCAGATCGCTTGGTCAATGTGGTTCTTTGGCCGGAGCTGGCAAATTCGAAGTGGCGCTTGCTCAAAACCCTGCTCCCTAATCCTCCATCCCTACAAGAGGGTTTAGGGGTTAGGGTTTAGGGGTTAGGGCGATCAAAACCCTAAACCCTAATCCTCAATCCCTGCATGATCCCAATGTTTCGGGTGCGTTTGGTCCTCAAAGTGAGGTTGGCTGTGGGATTACGCTTCTTCGGGCTGAGGGGTGTGAGCATAGGCCCTGTTTTTGCGGCTTTAGAGAAACTGTTCGGAGTTTGGTGCGGTTGCTGTTGTGTTTTGCTTTTGGCTGAAAAAGCTGGTTTGGTCAAAAACAAGCTGGGAAGGCACCGGCTTTTTCAGCCTTTTTTCAAGCCCTGACAGCCCTGTCGAAACTCTGATAGCTTTTTGTGTTTTTGTGAAAGTCCAAAATGGCCCAAAATCACCAAACTTGCGAATATCTCTGTGGTTTGGCCTTAGATTTGCGGTTTGGAAAAGGCCAAACTTGGTGAAGCCGTACAATTTCTATTTCTACAGGTCTTGAGGGTTTAGGTTTTAAGGTTAGGGTTTAGGGTGCTGTTGTGGATTCGGGGAATCTTGGCGTTTAGTTTTCTTTTCTCTTCGTGGGAGTGGAGGTGAGGGAGGGAGTGTCGAGGTCAGGCCAAACCCCTAGATTCCTCGACAAGGTCAATCCCAACCAGCCAGTGATAGTTTCCTTAGGAGTTAGGTTTTGTTGTTGTTTGTCTACAACCCAAAGGGCGTATTTTAAAGATGTCATGTTTGCTATGATTCCTAAACCCTACACCCTAAACCTTGAGCCCTGAACCCTAAACCCTAAACCTTGAACCCTAAACCTTGAGCCCTGAACGCTGAACCCTAAACCTTGAACCCTAAATTTTGAGCCCTAAACCCTAGTCCCTACATGGTCCCAACGTTCTAAGGTCCCCAAATCCTGAACCCTAAACCCTGAGCCTTAAACCCTGAACCTTGAACCCTAAACCCGAACCCCTAAACCCTAAACCCTAAGCCCTAAACCCTAAACCCTAAACCCTAAACCCTAAACCCCAAATCCGAAACCCTAAACCCTAAACCCCAAACCCTAGACCCTAAACCCTAGACCCTAAACCCTACCCCCCCCCCCCCCCAAAAAAAAAAAAAAAAAAAAAAACAAAAAAAACTGCAGGGCTCTGACTTGGGCCCCTTCGGCTTCTACGCGGTGGTTCTCTTCCTGGCACGATGGCTTCCCGGCCTCATGGCGCCTCGGCACATGATTTGGGGTGTAGGGTTTAGGGTCTGGGGTTTAGGGTTTTAGGGTTTTAGGGTTTTAGGGTTTTAGGGTTTTAGGGTTTTAGGGTTTTAGGGTTTTAGGGGTTCAGGGTTTAGGGTTTTAGGGTTTTAGGGTTTTAGGGTTTTAGGGTTTTAGGGTTTTAGGGTTTTGGGTTTAGGGTTTAGGGTTTAGGATGCTTAGAGCTGAGGGTGTTTAAGGTTAGTGTTTAGGGTTTAGCATGTTCCCGTAGCCCTGGGTCGCTCGAGTTCATTTGCTCTGGGACGACTTCAGGAATGTTTCCTGTGCCCCGAAACCCTGAAGCCTGAACCTTGTGCTCTCTGGGAGTTAAAATGGTTTAGGGCGTAGGGTTTGGGACAGAACAGCGTTGGGGGTTAAGCAGTTTTGCTCTTTCAGCTTCACTCTAGCAGCAAATGTCCGGGGCTTGTACAACAAGCTCTGTTATCATCCTGACGCCTGTGCACCAGCGATTGATTGTTTCAGACGCCTGGCACAAAAAGTCGGTGCAAACTCGTGCTTTCTTGTGGTACGGCAGTACCTCGCCCTAAGTAACCAAAGCAAAGATACAAGGCCATGGCTAAGTGATGGCCCCACATGGTCCATCCCGGCTTGAAACACACGATAGGGACTCTAAACCCTTAATCCTCAACCCTTAACCCTAAACCCTTAACCAAAACCCTAAACCCTAGCTATAGGGACCCAACACCTTAAACCCGAAGCCCTAAATCAGTAAACCCCACCCGTCGCGGGAGCCAAGCATGCCCTCTGCCAAGGTGAGATATGCTCCTCCTGCAAGCAGGCCCCCGGTGTCACAAAAAAACCCTACACCCTAGACCTTAGACCCTAAATCCTACACCCTAAACCCTAAACCCTAAACCCTAAACCCTAAACCCTAGAAGGATGTAGGGTTTCAGGGTTTCCAGGGTAGCTAAGTGGAGCATGGACATTCGCGCCCGACTTTTTACTGAGGCTTAAGGAGATCAGGGCTCGTGAATGAGTAGGCCAGCTTGGAAACTTAGGCTTTAAACCCTAGGCCCTAAACCCTAAACCCTAAACCCTGAAAACCCTAACTATAGGGACCCAACACCTTAGCAACTGCCGAGGCTCGGATGGTGATCATTGGTGTTCGGCTGTAGTGGGTGTTCGTGCGGGATGCGTTCTGACCCTAAGCCCTCCACCCTGAAATACCAAAGGTGTCACCACAAAAACCCTAAACCCTAAACCCTAAACCCTAACCCTAAACCCTAAACCCTAAACCCTAAACCCTAAACCCTAAACCCTAAACCCTAAACCCTAAACCCCGATTTACGACAGAATATCACAGTTGCCTGAGGCCGTGAACTTGACCCATAAAGAGCCTACGCTGTAGACATCTTGTGAACCAGGACCCCGCGCCCCGAGCCGAAGCAAACAGCAAGTGACCGCAAAAGATGGAGCCATTGATTAAACAAAGGACGGCTGAAAAACGAAGGACGCCCCCACGCCACCAAAATGGGGACACTAATTACATAGGTTTCGAACCTCTCCAGTTAAGCTGGTCCATAAGCTTGAGTCTGCATCACTGAAAGGTGCCAATGAGGGTTTGGGAACGTCGCTGTTCATTTACAGGTTTCGCCCCTGCCACGCTGTCAAGCATTCCGCTGCAGAATGTGCATACCATGACAAGATATTCATGCAGTACTCCTACATTATCAACCCCATGAAGGTAAATATACAATCTGCCAAGGGCCAATCTGCCGAGGATACATGTGTTGAGCTGCCTGTCAGTGTGGGTTCAGGACTTAGCTAGCGAAAGTCACAAAAAACTTTAACACATACAATACATCTCGGGAGCTTTTCCGTGGAACCACAGAATTGCAGGCTCCGGTACTATTAAGATCTCATCTTTGCGCCGAGGCTACGAATAGCCGAAGCTCGCCTGAGCCGGGCGGTGCTGAAAGCGAGGTGGCATTTGCGCATGACTTATCTGCAGGGTCTTCTAATGCGCCACTCCCCCGTGACCCCATCGAGCAGATGCAGAGAAGAATGAACTCCCAAAGCATGAAGAAGAGCAAGCCCTAAAGCCATGTGAAGCAGGGTTTATATTTCTGTTTTTGGTGAGTGTATGTAAGGTTCCCTTTTAATATTGGTGAGTGTATATATTGGGTGTCCTTTTGGGGGTACAAGAAATATATACCCTACTTCATGTCCACTACGGAGGCCCAGGGAACCTTCACGCTGGGCGCAGGGCTGTAGGGCATGTGCGCAGGGCTGTAGGGCATGTGTGATGTGTGAAGTTCCTAGCAGATTCTCAGCTAGGAGACGACCCTTGTTTTAGGATTCAGGTTTCCTTATAAGCCCGTTTAAACTAAAGGTCGCCCTAAACCCTAAACCCTAAACCCTAAACCCTAAACCCTAAACCCTAAACCCTAAGGTATAAGGCCCTCTGTCTGGTGTCCCTTGTGTTAGCTTTGATCTCCTGTTCTGCAAGTGGCTGCACTTTGAAAGTCTGTTCGGAGTTCGGAGCTGCGACCCGGTACTGGAAGCAGGAGGCAAACACACATATACATATGTATATATATATCTATGTATATATTTTCGTATTATTGTTGTACTATTTCAATTGGTAGTGTTTTTGCATTATTGGGTTATTTTTATTGGCATATTTATCTTTGGTTGTATTCTTAGCCAAGCCCTCAACTCTGAACGATCAACTTCGATCGCAGGCACGACCTGCGAGGAGTTTCCACCGCTCGAAGCCTTTGCCTTAGTCCGCAGGAGCCTAGACAGACAGTGAGGGTTGTCGTTTAGTTTGGGATTTAGGGTTTGGGGTTTGGGTTTTGGGTTTTGGGTTTAGGGTTTATCCTCTAGAGTCCCCCGTAGACCCTAAGCCCTACACCAATATGCAAGTGGGCCCCACTATATTTGCCAAGTTCGTTCGGAGCCAAGTTACCGAGCATCACTCTAAGTCCTGAACCCTAAACTCTATAAACTCCAGAAACCCTTAATCCCCATAGACCCTCTGACCCCTGTAAGCCCTTTGAACCCCATGAACCGCAGAAACCCTCCAAACCCCATGAACCCCACAACCCTCAAAACCCTATAAACCCGATGAACCCTGAACTCTATACTTCAATTCGGGGCACAACGTAATCCCTAAACCCTAAACCAACCATATTTGCAGCGGAGGGGCCTCACCCGTGTCGGGGCCTTAGTCTACTTACGTAAGGACCAGCCCTTATCTCCACATCAAAACCCTATCCCCGAGATTTTTCCGAGTTTCGGGTTTAGGGTTGTTCAAAGAGCCCCGACACACTGGAGGTACCCGGCCGTGGCGCGGTCCACTGGGCAGTGACTTCCGTGTGAGGCGGGCTCTGCATTGCGGTATGCTGAAGTACAAGGCGATGTACACAACAGTAGAGACCATAATGTGAGAAACCTTCGTATAAAATCCTAGAATCTCAGCTTGAAACCCTGAGAAGCCAAAGCTTCCATGCAACCCCGGGGGATGGGGAGGTGAGGGTAATTATACTGTCCCTCGACGTGCTTCCATCTCGGTACAGATTTCTGATGCGTGGGCCTCTAAGAATTCGCGGACCCTTGACCCCAATAGCAATAACAACTAACCGACGCTGTTCTTGCTGCTACTACTGCTGCTGCTTCGACGTACTCCTACTACTACTACTACTACTACTACTACTACTACTACTACTACTACTACTACTGCTCCTACTACTACTACGACTACTACTACTACTACTACTACTACTACTACTACTACTAGTACTACTAGTACTACTACTACTACTACTACTACTACTACTACTACTACTACTACTACTACTAGTACGACGACGACGACGACGACCACGACGACCACGGCGACCACGACGACCACGACGAACACGACCAACACGACGAACACGACGACCACGACGCTATTACGACTGCTGCTGCTGCTACTACTACTACTACTACTACTACTACTACTACTAGTACGACTACTACGATTACTGTTTCTAGTACTTACTGCTACTACTAGCATAGTCGCAGAGGTGATGTCTGGTCGTGGCGGTGGTAGTTGTTTTTGTAGTGGTAGCCGTAGTACAATTCGTAGTAGTCATATTGTTCGTGCTCATACTCGTATGTGTAGTCATAGTCGTACTGTAGTCATCTTTCTAGCATCGTCGCCACCGTCGTAGTAGTTGGTAACGACAAAGGAATTTTGAATTCAAAGCAATAGCGCAAGCTGGAGCAACAGCACATAGCAATAGCAACAGTACTGTCAAAAGCACTCGCGCTAGCACTATGTAAGAATAGCAATAGAGAAAATGTTGGTGGACAATGCGCAGCATTACGTCATATATCGCCATCCAAGTTTACTAAGTAAGCGACAACATAAACCACGCAGATGGTATAACATGAGATGTGTTTAATGATGTTTAGTACACCCATATGACAATACATCATAGAGCAGTTTCTGCAACTCAAAAATCACAAGCGTGTATGTGTGTACAATATACATATATACGCATTATATATATATATATGCAATATGCAAATGAAAAAGCTAGTGCTTGTATTTGTGATAATTTTTGCTTGATCGACGCATCATGTGTGCACACGAAGAAACATCCTATGACATGTGCCCCTTTTCCTTGTTCGGGAGGACACCGCACCAGTGGGAACAGCTGACTGCCAAATTTAGCTGCTCGTAGCTTGGTGGAGCTACTTGCAGGTGCCGTGCCAGCAAGAAAAAGTCCGAGCGACGACTGCGACGACTTGGGGGTTTAGCGTAGGGAGTTGGGATACTCAAGGTGTACGACCATGTGTGTGAAGCTTGTGTTGGGTGTGTTTTGGGATCTCCTTTTGTGCATGTTTTCCTCTGTCTCCGCAGTCCTGCCTCTGGCTGAAGAGTCGCCCACCCCTTGCCACCGCCAATGCAGGTGCGACCCTACTAAACCCCTAAACCCCTAAACCCCTAAACCCCTAAGCCCCTAAACCCCTAATAAACCCCTAAACCCCTAAACCCCTAAACCTATGCTTCGAAGCCTCAGCCGCAGGCAGACATGCTGACAGCGAGGAGCTCTACATTTGTGAACCCAGGCTGTTCACCGAAAGCACTGGGCCGGTTCGATTCTTAGCAGCCCAGCGGTACCCTTTGTTTTTTTTTTGGTTATGGGTTCCCTTTTTTGAACAACCAGCCCAAAAAAGGGGTGCCCTTATTAAAATCTGGTTTCTGGGCTACCAAGGATTCTGCTCTTCCTAGTTTTGCCTGGCAAAGCTCTGTTGATAAGTTGGTGGGTATGCAGCAAGGTAGGCTGGAGCTGACGGTCGTGTCCTACACGTCGGCTATGGCTCAGATGGCTTGGATAGTGACCTTGAAGGTCCTAGCGCATATGCAAGAACGGCAATGCCTTGCCAACTCCGTGACTCTGAGTCTTGGTAGCCAAGTGCTACCCTTTACCCTTTTTTTGGGTTCTGGTTTCCCCTTGTAAAATAACCAACCCAAAAAAGGGTGCCCTTATTGTAAGATGGTTACTGGGCTACCAAGGAATTCAATCCTGGCAGCGACTGCAAGATCAGCACAATGGACGTCCGGGATGTGCCTTCTACGCGAGATGCAGTCGACTGGCCTGGTGCCCACCATCATCTCGTTCGGAACAGGCCTTAGCTTTGGAAGAGGTGCGCGCTGGCGTCAGGGCTTTCGCCTGCTGCAGCAGCTTTGGCGCATCTCATTGCAACTTAACACAGTGGCCGCCAATGCCGCCATTTCTTGCGTGTCGCCTGGCATGTCCATGTCGGGAAATGAGGAGATGCTACCTCGAGGCTGGAGCGCAGCGATCCACATGTACCTATATCCCCCTTGGGAAGTTGTTTTTGCTTATATAAAACCCAAGAGGATACTAAGAATGTTTTTTTTTTATCAATTAAGGTTCTAAGGGGAGTAGAGGCACAGCCGGATGCGCCAACGAAGCATCGAAGTCAGTGCAGCCACCACTGGCTCCCTCATCCAGGTGGGCCGGTTCACGAGACGCTGGCACTTGGCTCTTGGGTTCCTGAAGCTGGAGCAGCAGCTCCTTGAGGGCAGTACGTGGCCGAAAAGGGTTTACAAGTAGCGGCCCCCCAAGTTAGAAGTAGGGTTATAAGGGTCCTAGAGTGGGTTATAAGTTTCAAGATTTAGGTTATAACTCCCTAAATTTAAGTTAGCATAGTAAGGGGGCCCCCGACTTGAATGGTTCTACCTTGCTACGAGTAGGTCAAAAACCCCCAACTGGGTCTATTGTTCTATCTTTCAGGGAATTACCAGCATGTCCGGTCGTGTAGAGGGTATCTGATACCTTAAGTCCAAAGCCCTAAACCCCAAACCCTAAACCCTAAACCCTAAACCCTAAACCCTAAACCCCAAACCCTAAACCCTAAACCCTAAACCCAAGGCTGCGTGGAGATCGTCACCCCTCTGTGAGCCGGATCTCTGCTAACACCGCCATCAGCGCCTGCGAAGTCTCACAGTGGGCACGTGCCCTGGGCGTGCCTTGCGGACTGAGTGAGCCCTCAAGGGCTTATAGGGCTTGGGTTTAGGGTTTAGGGTTGAGGGTTTAGGGTTTAGGGTCTAGGGTTTAGGGTTTAGGGTTAGGGGTTCAGGGTTTCCGGTTTAGGGTTTCGGGTCTAGGGCTTGGTGTGTCGTGTTTAGGGTTTAGGGTTTCGGGCCCAATGACCCTATAATAGGCGGATCATAGCAGTCTAGTGCAGATGATCCCTATTTTAGGGCTCATCTGGCCCCCAAGGTGTGTGAGTCTATGGAAGGGGTCATCGATGGCGTGACCGTCAGCGCTTGCATCTCCGCCTGTGAAACTTGCCTAGCCAGTCGTAGAACTTTCAACTTTTTTGGGTCTCCTTCTTGCGTAGGAGTAATGAAGTCTACCCTTTTTGGGTCTCCTTATTGCGTAGGAGTAATATTGCCTTACCCTTCTTTATTTCTTGATTATTGGAGACGTAAGGAAAAGGGGCACAGGTGGGAGAGGGCAGTGGACTTGACCCATCATCTGTCTCAGGGTACAGCAGCTCCCAGGCTGACAGGCTTGGCACAAGACACTACATCCCCCTTGGGAACTATTTGTTTAAAGTTTTGTTTATGTAAAACCCAAGAGGATATTATCAATTATGATGTTTATTAAGGTTCTAATTCGTTTTGATTATATAAACCCCAAGAGGATATTGAAACATATGATGTTTATTAAGGTTCTAAGGGGGAGTATAGGACAAGCTGCAGTGCCTTCCCGTGGCCCTCACCGCCTGCATCAGTGCATGCGAGAAGGGCTGTGCATGGCAAACATCGCTGCAGATGGCCGCTGATCTCCGGCCCCTTCTGGGTTTCCAGAAGGCATCCCAAACACTCCCGTACCTTAGTAGCCCAGGTGGTACCCTTTACCTTTTTTTGTCTTATGGGTTCCCTTTTTAAATAACCCACCCAAAAACGAGTGCCCGTATTATAATATGGCTACTGGGCTACCAAGGTACAATGCGGCACTGTGCTCGTTGGGCCGGAGCGCGCGCTGGGAGCTCGCAGTGGGCATCGTCAGCTGGCTGCACGAGTCGACCCTTCAGCCAAGCCTCGAGACGCTGAACGCGTGCGTGGGCGCGCTGCGCGTAGCGCAGGAGTGGTCATGTGCCCTGGCAGCCTGGCTGACGTTGAAGCAGTGGGCGCTGTTGCCTTCAGTCGTGACTCTGGCGGCATCCCTAGCCACAGTCTCTGGCAGAGCAGCTTGCAATGCTCTCATCTCTGCGTCTTGGTAGCTGAGAGGTGCCCTTTAAGGCTTTTTTTGGGTTATGGGTTCCCCTTATAAAAGTACTTAGCACCAAAAAGGGTACCCTTAAATACCATATGGTTACTGGGCTGCCAAGGTGTGTGCAGAGCCGCAGCGGTGGAGTTTGGGCATCTGCCTCTTTGACGTGATGGCTCCGGACCGAATCTCATTCAACTCCCTCGCGTCGGTGCTGGAGAACCTTAGGGGACAATTGAAGCCTAAGACTGGTTTAGGGCTTAGGGTTTAGGGTTGAGGGTTTCGGGTTTAATTAGGGTTTAGGGTTTACTGGTTGGGGTTTAGGGATCGTCTAGCCTATTCTACTACTGGAACCCCGGTTCTTCAAGGCATCTACCCTACAGCACCAGAATTGCCACTTTCTGGCTGATGGACCATAAGTCAGGTACGTGGGGACCATAAAGACCCTAGTCCCTAAACCCTAAACCCTTTTAGGACCCCAAAGCCCTTGTATTTACGTTTCAATAATTCACCCTAAGCCTCAAGCCCTAAGCCCTAAGCCCCAAGCCCCAAGCCCCAAGCCCCAAACCCCAAACCCTAAACCCTAAACCCTAACCCCTAAACCCCCCCTCCAAGGAAGAGCCGCCGGTGGCGCCAGACGCTGGCGCTGCTCCCGCAACTTCGATCCCGGCGCCTGGAGCCGGACCCCTTCACCCAGGACGCTCTCTCACGTAGTGGCGCTCCCGGAATTCAGGTGATGAAGTCCAGTGTTTAGGGTTTAGGGTTTAGGGTGTAGGGTGTAGGGTTTAGGGTTGGGGTTTAGGGTTTAGGGTTTAGGGTTTTACGGCCGAAACCCTAAACCCTAAACCCTAGGACGCCATCCTTGCCGCTTGTCAGAGAGCCGGCGTTTGGCGCCGGGTGCTCGCAAGCCTCCATCAGACTCCGAGCCCTGAGGTGGTTGGCATCTGGGTTGCCGTATCGGGGGTTTGGGGTTTAGGGTTTAGGGTTTAGGGTTTAGGGCTAGGGTTTTGGGGTTTAGGGCTTCGGGTTTCATAAGTTGCCAAAGAAGAAAGACCATACCATTGTTTGCTGTATGTCCAATCTTTATGGCGGGAGCTTACTTCAAGTCCCTGTAACCATTTGTACCTCTAAGCCTTCAAACCTGTACACCTTTAAGACCTTTCTTCAAGCCTTTGCGCCTTTTTAGGCTTTTAAGCCTTTAAACCTTTTTGAGCCTTTGAACCCTTCTTATAAAAGCCCTACTTATCTTAAGTTCCTTCACCACCGAGGCATGGTCTGCGCCGCACTCGCCTTGGCGCGGCAGTGGGAGCAGTGGCCCAAGGTCCGCGCTTGTAAACAAGACTTGGCATGAGCCACTGAAGTCAGCCAACCGAAGGAAACCACGATGAACCCCAAACCAGAACCCCAAACCCTAAACCCTAGGGTCTAGGGTTTAGGGGTTAGGGCTTGGGGATTGTTGAGCCCTAACAGTTTAAACACCCAAACCCTACACCCCGCACATCCCCACAAAACCCACCTCGAGGTACTCGAAATGTTGCAGGATCTTCGAGCCAGGGATGTCGAGGTCGACGCCGCGGTCCAGGGCACCCCGATGATGGGTTAGGGTTGAGGGTTTAGGGTGCAGGGTTGAGGGTTTAGGGTGTAGGGTTTAGGGTTTAGGGCTAGGGTTGAGGGTTTAGGGTTTAGGGTTCGAGGTTTGAGGGTTAGGGTTGAGGGGTTTAGGGGTTCGGGTTTGAGGCTTTAGGGTGTAGGGGTTTTTAGGGGCTAGGGTTTACGGTTTGGGGGTTGAGGGTTCTGGGGGTTTAGGGTTGAGGCTTTTGGGGGGTCTTGGGCTTTATGTGTCGATAGAAAGTCAAAGTATGTTTTCGACCTTCAGGCTTCGGAGTTTTGGGCCTTTGGGGGTTTTAGGGGAGGGCTTTTGGGTTCTTGCGTTTGGGTTTGTTTTTTGGGTTTAGTGCAGGGATTACAAGAGTAGTATAGAGTATTAAGAAAAGGCTTGATTTGGTCCGTAAGGACCAGGTGCTCAACACCTGCCCAACCAGCCAAAATCAGGTCCTAAGCCCTAAACCCTAAACCCTAAACCCTAAACCCTAAACCCTAAACCCTAAACACTGCCTTTTTCAACTCCTCAACGGCCCGCACCTCAAACCAAAGGCATGGCGATCGACCTTCTCATGGCCGCCGGTGCTGGGGCACCTGCCAGCGCCCGCTGACCTAAGTGGTTCTGGGGGGTTTAGGGTTGAGGGTTGAGGGTTGAGGGTTGCGGATTTGGGCGGTTTTGTTTAGGGTTTGGGCGGTTTAGAATCGGAGCTTTCGAAGCGTTTTGCGGCTTAGGGTTGGGGATGTTTTATGGGTTTAGCTGCATTATGGTTAGCTAGTTGGGCAGTTCAGTTGTCTACAAGTCTAAATCGTGGCCCCATGTTCGGGTGCGCTACATACAAGGGGCCGGTATTGTACCATGAACCCGAAATCGACTCCCTAAACCCTGAACCTTAAACCCTAAACCCTTTTACCGTTAGTGAGCCGACCAGTCGAGGACAGCTCTGGCCTTAAAGAGGGTTCAGGAGTGTAGAGGGGCTTGGGGGTTCTTACGGGTGTTTGGGGTTTAGGATTTTGGGCTTAAGTTTAGGTGTATAGGGTTTGGGGATTGGTTGGGTTTAGGAGCCATGATAGAGCGGAACAGCTAAGCAACCAGCGACTTAGGATCATGCAATCCCATACAACCTCCACCTTAGTTTCCCCCCTCCACTATAGGGCCCAAGAAAGGTTTATTTGTTGGGCTCCTTGAGCTTTAGGGTTTAGGGTTTAGGGTTTAGGGTTTAGGGTTTAGGGCTTAGGGTTTAGGGTTTAGGGTTTAGGGTTTAGGGTTGAGGATTTAACTGTTTAGGGTTAAGGCTGGCTTGGTATCAGATCCCATGATAGGATGGGCCCAACCCTGCCAAGGCGCCGTACGTCCATAGTCTGCACCTGCTTCTGGGTCATTGCTGAGTCTTCTTGTTCTTTTTGTTGGGCTGTTTTTGGGGTTTAGAGTTTGTAGGGTTTAGGGTTTAGGGTTTGGGCTTTATGGTTAAGGGTTAAGGGTTTGGGGTTTAGGGTTTAGGGGTTTCTGGATGAAGGCTTAAACAAGAAAGAAAACCAGGCCTACTTATGCGGAGTCAGTAAAAAGCAGGAAAGCAGGAGCATCAACCGCTGATGTGGCTCCCTCAGTTTTCAGGTTGCGATATCAGGTCGCGGGATTGTTTAGCAGCAACTCCTTAATTACACACTAGGCCCTGTCAACATCAAGCCAAAATCCTGCAACCCTAGACCCTAGACCCCACTTAGAAGCCGTTTTGACATAGTACTAAGTAGACTTACTATGTCCAAAGAGCTTCCAAGTAAACCCCAAAACGTCCACAACAAATCCAAGTCCCAAACCTCAAATGCCAAGCAAGACCAACACGCGCAGTCCCATTTTCAAAACAAGGACCTTGGGGGGGTGGGGGGGGGGGGGGGGGGGGGGGGGGGGGGGGGGCGGGGGGTGGTAAGGAGCATGGTCTATTATGGGTTATGTGTCCTTAGTAGGCCTTATTTCGGGTTCATGCCCTGGACACTGGACCCTAGACCCTAATCCCTCATGGGCCCTTACACCCCCGTCCCTTTCACGGCAGCCACCGAGGATGGATAGTGTGCAAGCGGGAACGGAAGCCTGGTTGAAGACATATGGGCATTTCCCAGAATAGGGATACCCCTTTTTTACCCCAAACAGAATAGGATCCCCTTTTAAAGGGACCCCCAAGAAGGGTACCCTTATTTGCGGAAACCCCCATATACGTCTTGTCCCGCGTGTAGCGTCAGGAGTTTCGTTTCCAGCAAGGTGGGCAGGGCGGAGGCCCAGCCAGAAGTATATAGAGGGGCAGAGTAGCATATGTATGCAGGTACATTCACAGATAAAGATAGGCATACTCATCTTTCTTATATTATCTTATATCATATGATATCATTTCATCTTGTCTTATCTTATATAATCTCATATCATATTGTAGTATATTAGGTTATGTTTATAGTATATTCGGTTATATTATGTTATGTTATATTCTTTCCTAATATATTTTATGAGATAATATAGTGTTGCATTTTGTTCTATTGTGTGATATTGTGTTATATTATATCATTTTATATGATATTTCCTTATCTTGTCTTACATTATATGCCGTTTTCGGAGTTCGGAGCTTCAGGTCTCGGGGTCTACATTCAGGAGTTTGCATAACTACCAGTTGTAGCAGTCCGTAGAAAGCAGCTATAATAATGCACGCCAGGGGTAAGGGTTTAGGGTTTAGGGTGAATTCAATAGGCCCTTGTATTAACTAGGGTGTGGAACCAGGTCGCAGGTGCCGCCTCTTCTCCACTGTCTGTTTAAGTAACGCAGGCTTCCATGCAAAGCCATGTACAGAAGAGTTGTCCTTTGAATGTTTATATCTGTGGCGGTCGCCTTACAGCTGCGGGCATTCTGAAGAGTGCTTCGGCCAGCTGACGCCACTGCCACGCTGGGGTCAAAACCTGGTGCCTCATGCTCGGCCCTGGCCATTTCGGCAGACCCCGCGACGCTATCCCCGTATGCCCACAAGAAGCCAATAGCTCTAAGTCTCAGAATCCAAGCCTTCAAGGCCAATAAAGCGATCATAGGGAGGGGAAGGAGACCCAGATACCTTCATTTATCATGCTCTTCACGCGTTGCGCGAACGGCGCCTCCCTTTTCCTTACGTGATCTTCGCACCCACGGTAGAAGCCGGCGACAGTCCCAAACCCTGACTCTGACCGCACTATAGCCATAAAGCCCTAAAACATTCAAGCCCCAAAACCCGGAACCCCAAAGCCCCAAAGCCCCAGAACCCTGACTCCCTAAAAACTCTAAAGCCCCAAAAGCCTTGGAACCCTAAAGCCCTAAAACCTCTAAATCCCTACACCCTAAACCCCGTGAAGCCCCCTGAGCCGACCACTTTGAAGCCTTCAACCCTCAACCCTCAACCCCTAAACCCCTAAACCCCTAAACCCCTAAACCCCTAAACCCCTAAACCCCTAAACCCCTAAACCCTAAACCCTAAACCCCGCAAACCCTCGAACCGCAGCTGGCTCAGAGACGTTGAGGATGAGGCCCTTCGGGCCCTTCGGACGCTTCTCACGGAGAAGCGCCCGCAGTCAGGCCACGCTCTTGGCTTTCCTGGTCCAGAGGGTTTAGGGTTTAGGGTTTAGAGTTTAGGGCTTAGGGTTTAGGGCTTAGGGCTTAGGGCTTGGGTTTAGGGTTTAGGGGGGTTTAGGGCGTTTAGGGTTTTAGGGACTCTTAACGGACTACCTAAACAAAGGTCAAGCGTTCAGGGCTGGTTGGTTTAAGGTGTAGGGTTTAGGTTTGCTTCGGGTTTAGGGCTTAGAGTTTCGGGTTCGGGGTTGAGGGCTTAGGAAACTCCACCGCCCTAAACCCTAAACCCTAAACCCTAAACCCTAAACCCTGGGCCACCTTAAGCTTAAACAAGGCCCGGAACCCTGGATGATTTTTTCCCTGGGTTCTTGCTGCAAGGAGCGTCAAGTAGGCTACTGTTAATAGGGTCATACTATATTGTTAAGCATAACCCCCCCCTGCCACTGTGCTCACTTAGTTCAAGTTCCCGAAGTCCTAATTTTGTTGAAGCCAAGGTCTGGGTGCATTTCGGAAGGCGGAGCTATGGCGACGTAGCACCAGGCCTGCTCATTGAAGTTGAGTTTGGGGCTTTGAGTTTTGGGTTCGGGGTTCAGACTTATTATTTTGTGTTTTTTGTTTTTTTTCACTTTTTTTTTGCGGGGGAGGGGGGGGGAGGGGTGGTCGGGGAGTTGCGGGGAGGTTGAGGGAGTGTGCAGCCCTTCACAGTTGGTGGCTCAAGACTTGTTTGTAGGGCTTAGGGGTATTACATGACTTGGGGGCCCTGGGCTGAAAGAATCCAGTTTTGAGGATGAATATGAAGCAGTGCTTCTATTTCCGTTATTGGTGCGTATACATAGGCTTCCATATGAATTTTGGTGAGAGTATACGTCGGGTGTCCTTTTGGTGATAGCAGTAGATACTATTATATGCCCTACTGCCTATATGGTTTAAGGGGTTTGGACTGAGGGTGCTCGGGGTTTGTGCATGTCGGCCTGAGGACCAGTGCTGTCCAGCTGAGCTTATATTATTGCACCTCCTCAAATCGGGGCCCTGATGCTTGCGGGAGGAGGGAGGGAGCCCTAAACCCTAAACCCTAAACCCGAAAGAGGGGAGGAAGAGAAGGAGAGATAAACGAATTGAGCAAAGGAGGACGAAGGAGAAGAGGAGAGTGAACGCAAGAACTTGCAGCTGTCTTTTCACGTGGGGGTTGCTTGTCCTGAGTACGACACGCGACAGAATCTCTTAAGCTGGCACAGCCGTCCTGAAGTGCACTAAACCCGCCAAACCCTAAACCCTAAACCCTGAGTCTGTCCTAAACCCCTTATCTCCCAAACCCGTCATAATTCACCCTGGTAACCTCTCAACGCCCACAGAGTAGCAAGAGTCACAAGAATTTGTAGTACATAGCAGCAAGAATCGCATTAGTTCTAATGGTAAGCCCCTAATCGATCCCCAGCCCTAAGCCCTAAACCCTAAACCCTAAAAATCGGCTGCAGGTCGATGTTGTTATGTCCTTCCCGGAGATCGGGCTGCGTTCTGTGCTCAGTGTGCCGAGGGTTGAGGGCTTTTGGGGTTTTAAGTGTTTAGGGTTTGGGTTTGTCCTTGCAGTATCTTGCCTAAACCCTAAACCTAAACCCTAAACCCTAAACCCTAAACCCTAAACCCTAAACCCTAAACCCTAAACCCTAAACCCTAAACCCTAGAGCAGAGTGCAGCTCCACATCCCCCAAGGTGCTCACTCGCGGGACTGGCTGTGGGGGTCGGACTGGCGTCGCTGTCGAACTTCGCAGTGGAGAGGCGCTTTAGGGTTTAGGGTTTAGGGTTTAGGGTTTAGGGTTTAGGGTTTAGGGTTTAGGGTTTAGGGTTTAGGGTTTAGGGTTTAGGGTTTAGGTTTGGTGCAAATCAGGGTTTAAGGTGTGGAGGGTTCCCTCTTCAGCCCTGAGCGAGTTGCGGGCGTAGAGGGCGCTGACCCAAACACATTCCTCAGTTGCACCTTGCCTCTTGTACTGTATAATTGTTATAAACCTAAGTATTAGAACAAAGAGAACGCCGAAACCTAAAGCCTAAAGCCCCCAAAAAAGGAGCTTTGGTTGTGATCGTAAAGTACAAGTAGGTGCTGCAGCTGAAAGTAAGGGGCCTTGATCCCAGTAACCTGCAACTCCGTAGCCTCCACGAAATACTCCACGATGTTGAGGGTTGAGGTGTTGGTTTAACATAACAGTTTGTCAAACAACGCCACTTTCTCGAGAGGCTGCGAAGGCTTCAGAAGCTCTACGCTGCTCGGCGAAATCTACACCCTAGACCCTAAACCCTAAACCCTACACCCTAGACCCTAGACCCTAAACCCTAAACCCTAAACCCTAAACCCTAAACCCTAAACCCTAAACCCTAAACCCTAAACCCTAAACCCAACTCCACTTCAAATAGCAATTCGGGGACAGATTCGGAGGGAGCCCTGGACCCTAAACCCCTAAGTAGGCCCTTGGGCATTCTATTTTTGGGGTCCATAAGGGAAGATGTTCACTGGGATTTAGGGTTTAGGGTTAGGGTAACCCAAGGTTCCCTAACACTCCCCACTATTCTTGAGGCTCCCTAGTAGACTCCCTAAAGTTTTCTAGTTATCTACCCCCCATGAACCCTCTCCCTGAAGGACCCTATAGTTTACATTTTGTCGGGGTTCAAGAGGATGATACGTTCGGAATATTTCTCAAAAATTGTCAGGGGCATCCTAGACCGCACAGCCCTAGACTTTCCTGGGCTCGAGAGATTTAAAACGGGTCGGTTTAGGGCTTAGGGTTTAGGAGGTTGACAAACGTCTGATTTGAGAGTTTTG